TCAAGGCACCGAACGGATCAGGTCATGGTATCTGCAGGCTATCGGCTCGCTCCTCTACATTTCGCTCGGCACCCGCCCCGACATCGCCTTCGCCGTGTCCTACCTGGCCCGCTTCGCCAACAACCCTGGACGTCGTCACTGGATCGCGGTCAAGCACATCCTCCGCTATCTCCGGGCCACATATCGCGACGAACTGGTTTATGCTTGCGGCGAGACACGCATCACGGGCGTGGTTGGCTACTCCGACGCGAACTGGGGGCCTGCGTCGATACGTCGGTGTCCACTATGGGCTACGTCTTCTACATTGCCGGATCCGCCGTGTCTTGGTCGTCCAAGCGTCAATCTCGAGTTGCCGATTCTACCACCGACGCTGAATACCTCGCCCTCTCGCATGCTGGCAAGGAAGGGATCTACCTCAGTCAGCTGCTCGAGGAGCTCCATGTCCAACCTGTTGCACCGGCTCACATTTTTACTGACAATGAAGCCGCTGCCGCAGTTGCCCACGACCCTGTCCGCGTCTCCGGCACTCGACACATACGCTTGCGCGAGCACTTTGTTCGGGACATGGTGAATCGGGGCGATATCTCACTCTCGCATGTGGGAACCAGCAACATGGTGGCCGACATCTTCACAAAGGCTCTTGGCCCAAAGATTTTCTCGACACACTGCTACGCACTAGGCCTTCGCACTCGACACCCACGGCTTGGATCTGCCTCGCATTCGCGTGGGGGGGGTGTGAAGAGTCCACTCTCAGCTCGACAGGGGCGCCTCGGTCGTTGCGCGCGCCTGCTAGCCTGGCCCCTGTGGTGGGGACTTAGGCGCGCGCGAGTGCCTCAGCGCGCCGGCGCCGGCGGTTTTCGGGCGCGCGCCGCTAGCCGCCCTTGCAGTGGGGACTTAGCCGCGCGCGACTGCCTCAGCGCTCCAGCGATTTCGCCCGCGCCTGGGCATATCCCAGCGCGGGCCACCTTTCCATTTCTTAGCTTCCTTCTCATCACTTCTGTTCGACTCTCGACTTCTCCTGACAGTAGTGGTGATCATCTCATAGGTACGCTGAAATAGATCACTTCTGTTCGACTCTCGACTTCTCCTGACAGTAGTGGTGATCATCTCATAACAAGACGCGGTGGAGGCCCCTCAAAACCTCCACCTCAGCAGTCCCTGGCCCCTCAAAGCCGACTTTCTGCCTGTGTCTGCTGATCCCTCCTTGACTCAGAACCCCGAAGCCAAAGAGCGCGAGCCACCGTCGAGTCAATCCCAAATCGCGAGCCGGTCCATGAGCAACGGAGGCAGACCTGTAATAAAAGAAAGAAAGATGAAGAAAATGAAGAGTCCACTCTCAGCTCGACAGGGGCGCCTCGGTCGTTGCGCGCGCCTGCTAGCCTGGCCCCTGTGGTGGGGACTTAGGCGCGCGCGAGTGCCTCAGCGCGCCGGCGCCGGCGGTTTTCGGGCGCGCGCCGCTAGCCCGCCCTTGCAGTGGGACTTAGCCGCGCGCGACTGCCTCAGCGCTCCAGCGATTTCGCCCGCGCCTGGGCATATCCCAGCGCGGGCCACCTTTCCATTTCTTAGCTTCCTTCTCATCACTTCTGTTCGACTCTCGACTTCTCCTGACAGTAGTGGTGATCATCTCATAGGTACGCTGAAATATATCACTTCTGTTCGACTCTCGACTTCTCCTGACAGTAGTGGTGATCATCTCATAGGTTATAAGCCCATCGAGCTACCGCTGGCATGGACACGTCGTCAACCCTCGCGACGAGCGCCACCCCGACAATTCCCGCCGAACAGCTTGCCGCACTTACATCGCTGCTGTCGGGACTCACCGCTGCCGCTTCCGGCACTACCGCACCCGCCACGACATCCGGCTCCAATCGCAATGCCTTCCCGAAGCATGCGCGGTTGGACGGGCCGAAGACGTTCGCGAACTGGACACGCCAGCTTCGCCTGTGCCTAGCGGACGACATCCGCTCCTACGTCCTCGACGGAATCACCCCCGACGATTGGACGCCTTCGCAACGCTCCGCCCGCGACGTCGTGGCACGCGAGATCCTTGCAAACTCAATCGACTCGGCCGAAGTCTCGGCAGTCCTCGACAAGATCCCTACGGCCGACCTCACAGCGCCCAAGATTTACTCGACGCTGAAATCGCGATACGCCCCTGATGACGCCACTCGCACGCTCGAGCTCTTCTCGCGACTCTGGGGCTTCCGACCCATGCCCGGAACGGTTGGCGAATTTGACAGTTGGATCATGGACTTCAAGTCGGTCGCGCAAGAGATCATCGATACGAAAACGACGATCAACGACGTCCTTGCCACACTCCTCCTCGCGATCGCCCACCCGTCACTCGAGAGCTTCAAGGCAACGTTCACCGACGAACAACGCACGCAACGAACTCTCCCTGACATCGATTCAGTGGCCGACCGTATGCGAGTTCAACTCCGGTCAACGAACCTCTCCAACGATCAATCGGCCCTCCTTGCCTCGTCGTCGCCACGTTCTACCCGTACCAAGTGCCTCGCCTGTCGCAGCCCTTCTCACCGCGTCGCACAATGCCCTACAAGGGCCCAGCATCCACCGCCAGGCCCGTGTCGCTCCTGCAAGAAGAAGGACCACTGGTCTTTCGACTGCAAAAAGGCTCTTGAGGACGGGAAAACGCCCGACACCTCTGATGCGCAACACCATGTCGGATGTCTCGCCACCGGTCTTCTCGCACATCGTCGTCAGCTTCGCAACAACTCCTTCGTCGTCGACTCGGGTGCCACTTCGCACATGGTCTCGGACAAGTCGCTGTTCACGGCCTATCGCCACATCGCTCCTACGAAGATTGGTGGTATTGCAGGGGGCATCAACGCCGTCGGAACGGGAAACATCGCCTTTGTTGCCGCCTCCGGTCACCCGATCACGCTTACCGGCGTGCTGCACACCCCGGGCCTGTCTGTCAACCTCCTCTCGGTCTCTCGACTTTGCGACACCGACGATGTCCGTGTCGCCTTCACGAAGCACGGCATCCATATCGACAAGAACGGCAATGCTATCGCTGAAGGCGCAAGACTCGAGGAAGGGCTCTACTTGCTGGACGCTGATCATTCCAAATGTCAGCATCTCGCTCTCCTCTCTCGCTCACAGTCTTCCGTGCCCCTGCTGACCCTTCACCGCTGCCTCGGCCATCTCGCACCGTCGTCCATACAGAAGATGGTTGCCGCTGGTTTGCTGGAAGGTCTCGGGGCCGGATATAGTGACGAAGAGGTAGAGAAGTTTGTCTGCAATGCTTGCCTCAGTGCAAAGGGCCATCGTCTTCCTTTTCCCGATTCGGACTCGCACTCCTCAGAGAGACTCGGCCTCGTACACAGCGATGTGCTTTCCTTTCCCGAGTCGTCCTTGACTGGCAAGCGTTACCTGGTCACGTTTCTTGACGACTTCTCGCGCAAACTGTGGGCATACGCGATCGGACACAAAAGCGAAGTCTTTGGCGTGTTCAAGACATGGCTTGCCGAGGTCGAACTCGAGACGGTGCAAAACTGAAGGTCCTCCGAACCGACAATGGTGGCGAATACTGTTCGAGAGCGTTCACGGAATTCTGTAAGGCACGCGGCACACGTCGACAATACTCTATCCCTCGAACGCCTCAACAGAACGGTCGTGCCGAACGAGTCAATCGTTCTATCGTCGAAGGTGTCCTTGCCCTCCTTGCAGACGCCCACTTACCCAAATCATTCTGGGAGGAGGCAGCAGCTTATTTCGTCTACTGCAAGAACCTGTGCGAACACTCGGCCCTGGACAAGGCAACACCGAACTTCGCCTGGCAGGGCGACCGCACCAACGCCTCGGCGCTTCACCCGTTCGGCTGCACGGCTTGGCTCACAGTCGCGCCTGAACTTCGCTCGAAACTCGACCCGAAAGCGGTTCGCGTTCTCTTCACCGGCTATGACCTGGCTTCTAAAGCCTTCCGTTTCTACGACACGACGACCAAGAAGATCAGTTTGGGCAGAAATGCCAGTTCCTCGACAACGAATTTCCCGGGTTACGTAGCGACTCGACACGCACTTCGCCAGCGCTTCGAATTATTCGATCAACTCTACTACGTCAGCGATGTAGTTATAGCCAAGAGTGATAAATGCATTTCAACATACCTATTCGATCAACTCTACTACGTCAGCGATGTAGTTATAGCCAAGAGTGATGAATAGGAAGCTAACAATAAGAGACCCGCGCGCCCCCAAGTCCACAGCCAGCGAGCCTGGGGCTGAGCCAATGGCCCAGGCTCGCTCCGCGCGCCTAAGTCCCAGGCTCGCTTCGCGCGCCTAAGTCCTGGCCGGGCGCCCGGCTCACTCCGCGCGCCTAAGTCCGCGCCCGGTTCGCTCCGCGCGCCTAAGTCCTGAGCCGAGCGGAGAGTGGATTCCTCACACCCCCCCCCACGCGAACGCGAGGTAGACTTGAGCCGTGGATGTCGCGTCCGGAGGCCTAGAGCATAGCAATGTGTACCAAAAATCTTGGGGCCTAGCGCTTTGGTGAATACGTCCGCAACCATGTCTGCTGTGCCAACGGTGAGAGAGAGATATCACCTCGATTGACCATGTCACGGACAAAATGCTCGCGGAGGCGAATGTGCCGGGTGCCGGAGGTGCGAACGGGTCGTGAGCGACGGCGGCCGCGGCCTCGTTGTCGGTGAAGATGTGAGCTGCAGCGATTGGGCAAACGTGGAGCTCGGAGAGGAGTTGGTTAAGGTAGATCGCTTCCTTACCCGCGTGCGACAAGGCCAGGTACTCGGCATCAGTGGTGGAATCCGCTACCCGAGTCTGACGCTTCGACGACCAAGAGACAGCGGCGCCTGCCAAGTAAAATACGTAGCCCATCGTTGAAATGGATGTGTCGACGCAGGCGCCCCAGTTCGCATCAGAATAACCAACCACACCCGTGACTTTTGCTGGGCCGCGGGCATAGAGAAGCTCATCGCGGTACGTGGCGCGAAGGTAGCGAAGGACGTGTTTGACGGCAATCCAATGGCGGCGGCCGGGGTTGTTGGCGAACCGGGACAGGTACGAGACGGCGAAGGCAATGTCGGGTCGAGTGCCAAGGGAGATGTAGAGGAGGGAGCCGATGGCCTGTAGGTACCACGAACGAATGCGCTCCGTTCCCTGACCCGGAATTGCCGTGAGCGAGAGGCCGGGCGTCATCGGCACCGTAGTGCCGCGTGTCGTGGTGTCGAAGTGGAAACGGGCCAGCACGTCCATGATGTAGCGCTCCTGGGATAGAGCAATGGAACCGTCGTCCAGGCGGCGTATTTGGATTCCGAGGATGTACTCCGCGGGGCCGAGTCGTTTGACGCCGTACCGCTGTTCAAGGCCGGAGATGACACGTTCGATCTCGTCGAGGGCTGGACTGACAATGAGGAGGTCGTCGACATACAAGGCGATATAGTGAGGCCGCTGCTGATCGTCAATGCGAGAGTAAATGCAGTGATCAGTGCCTGTTGCCTTGTACCCCAGATTCCTGAGTGATGTGTCAATGTGACGATTCCAGATGCGACCGGCCTGCTTGAGACCGTAGATTGAGCGTCGCAGCCGGAGAACCTTATCGCTCGGGAAGTCGAAACCGCGTGGTGTCGTCATCCAGATATCATGATCGAGCTCGCCGTGGAGGTAAGCCTTGTCGATGTCGGCCTGATGAACGTGGTAGCCATTGGCAGCGGCAAGAGCCAGGAGGCAGCGAATGGAGGAGAAACGGGCGACGGGTGCGAAGGTTTCTGAGAAGTCGATGCCGTCGCGCTGTCGGTTACCCTGCGCTACAAGACGTGCCTTCCGCCCCGTGACTTCACCGCTTGCGTTGCGCTTGGTCTTCCAGACGAATTTGGAGGTGACGATGGTGGCGCCCGGCGGTACAGATGAGCGAGGCTCGATGGTGAACACCTTGAAGTCGTCGCGCATGGCGGTGAACTCGGCGGCGGCGGCCTCAGCCCAGATGTTGTGCTCGTCGCTGGACATTGCTTCGCGCCAGGTCTGGGGTCGCTAGTGATCGATTTGACGGGCTCGATGGCGTCGAGGGTGGGGTCGTCGTCGTCTGTGGCGATGAAGGCGCGGTGGTGTTGGGTGAGGAAATCGATTTCATCCGGCGATTCATCGCGCGAGTGACGCCCAATGATGTCGAGTTCGTCGGGCGACTCCTCAGCCGATGCGGGCTCACGGTACGTGCTGAAGTCTGGGCGGTGCACGTCCGGTGGGCCAAGGCGAGTCGGGGTCTGTGAGCCGATGAGGTCCAGAGGGTCGGCGGAGTAGTCAGAGTCGGTCGGTGAGACCGAGGGTGACGATGACGCTGCCAACGACGGTGACAGCGCAGGCGACGGTGACAAAGGGTTTGTGGGCGACGGTGACGAGGACGGCTCAGGAGACGGTGACGAGGACGATTCGGTATCTGTGGAATTAAGTAAGGTTCCGCCAGTGTACCCTGGGGCCACGTCAACGGCGCTCATGGCAGAATCATCAAGGGAGGATGAGACGTCCATGTGCGCCGACCTTACTAGTGGGGTCCTCGTCTTGACGGCAGGGGCGGGCGTGTCGGCGGGAACGACGAACTGACGGTCGGTGTCGTCTGCATCGACGGGCGTGGTGACTGGCAGGCCGGGGAAGTCGTCGTCGAGGAAGGTGGCATTGCGACCAAGTACAATCTTGTTGATGGAATGGTCAAAGAAACGGAAAGCTTTGGAGGCGAGGTCGTAACCTGTGAAGATCACGCGCGCGGCCTTGGGGTCGAGCTTGCTGCGAAGGTCCGGGGCGACCGTGAGCCAGGCTGTGCAGCCGAACGGGTGGAGGGCGGTGGCGGTGGTGCGTTGGCCGTTCCAAACGGATTCTGGAGTCTGTTTGGCCAAAGCTGAGTGTGAGCACCTGTTTTTGCAATAAACGAAATACGCAGCCGCTTCATCCCAAAAGGTGGCCGGCAGACGGGCGTCCGCAAGGAGAGCGAGGACGCCCTCGACGATGGAGAGGTTGACACGTTCGGCGCGACCGTTTTGTTGAGGCGTGTAAGGGATAGAGTATTGACGACGAATGCCCTTGGATTTGCAGAACTCCGTGAATGCGTTTGATCGGTACTCCCCGCCATTGTCGGTTCGAAGGATCCTCAACCGCGCGTTCGTCTCTAACTCCACTTCGGCGAGCCAAGTCTGGAAGGTCGGGAAAACATCGCTTTTGTGATCGATCGCATATGCCCAGAGTTTGCGAGAGTGGTCGTCTAGAAACGTGACAAGGTAGCGCTTCCCGGTCAAGGACGGAGTGGGGAACGACAGGACGTCGCTGTGCACGAGGCCAAGTCTCTCGGCGGAATGCGACTCAGAGTCGGGAAAGGGAAGGCGGTGACCTTTGGAACCAAGGCAAGCATTGCAAACAAACTCCTCTACGTCTTTGTCACTGTACCCGGCCCCAAACCCGTCCAGCAAACCTGCAGCAATCATCTTCTGTATAGAGGATGGGGCAAGATGGCCGAGGCAGCGGTGTAGGGTAAGCAGGGGCACGGGAGACTCAGAGCGTGAGAGGAAGGCAAGATGCTGACACTTGGTGTGATCCGCGTCCAAAAGGTAAAGACCGTCGTTGACCCTGGTACCGTGAGCAATGGCCCGGCCGTCCTTGGCGATGTCGATGCCGTCGCTGGTGAAGGCGAGACGAACGCGGTCGGTGTCGCAGAGGCGAGAGACAGAGAGGAGGTTGACGTGTAGGCCAGGCGTGTGAAGAACACCACGGAGCGTGATCGGGTGTCCAGTCTTGGCGACGAATGCCACGTCCCCCATGCCGATAGCCGTGATGCCGCCCGCGATGCCGCCGATCTTGGTGTGTGCCGTCTGACGATAAGTCGTGAATAGAGATCGGTCGGCGACCATGTGTGTCGTGGCACCCGAATCGACTACAAAGGCGTCAGTTGGGAGTTGGCGACGAGCGAAGAGGCAGGAGGCGAAATAGCCGACGTTCGGTTGCGAGGCCGCGGAGGAAGACGTGTCGTCCTGGGTGTCGTCGCTGCTACGTGCCTGTTCACCCCGGTTCTTGCAGTCGAGTGCCCAGTGACCTTTCTTGTGGCATCGGCGGCAGGGGCCGGTGGGCGGGTGCTTCGCACGTGAAGTGCAGTCGCGCAGGCGGTGACCGGGAGCGCGGCAGGCGGGGCAGGGGGAGCTGGTGGCAAGCATGGCCGAATGCGAGGTCGAGAGTCCTGCCGAACGAAGCTGGATGCGAATGCGGTCCGTAAGCGTCGTGAGTTCGGGAAGGTCGCGTCGGTTTCGCTGCTCGTCCGTGAACGTGAGTCGGAAGCTGTCGAGGCAAGACGGGACCATGGCGAGCACGTGGGTGGCGAGCACGTCGTTGAGCGATGTTTTGGCGTCGCGTATTTCCTGAGCAATCGACATGTACTCGCGTAGCCAAGTGTCGTAGGCCTCGACGGAGGCAGGCATCTTCCTGAAGTCCCAAAGGCGAGCGAACAACTCGAGAGTGCGTGTAGCGTCGTCCGGTGCAAAACGAGCCTTGAGAGCGGCAAAGATGCGCGGTGCCGACAGGTCGTCGCTGGGGATGGCGTCGAGGGTGGCCGATACGTCGGCGGAGTCGATAGAGCCAACGATGATTTCCCGGGCGGCGTCGTCACGTGCGGCAAGCTGGTCGGCGGTCCAGGTCGGGGGAACGACACCGTCGAGAACGTAACCACGAACCTGGTTCGGGAGTGCAAGACGGAGTTGACGCAACCAGTTGGTGAACGACTTGGGGCCGTCCAGACGAGCGTGCTTGGGAAACACGACCTTGGATGCGGTGGCGGCGTTCCCCGGCACGACGGTGACGGCCGGGGGTGCGGCGGCTGCGGCGGCGGCGGGTTGCGAGGCCTGCAGAGCGGCAAGCTGGGCCTGTAGAGTGGCGATTTGTTCGCCGATCGAAGATTCAGGGGAGCTGGGATCCCTGGGGGCCAAAGGCGAGGCGGGAGAGCTGTCCATGATGTGATGGTGCGATGGACGTGTGCGGCTCGAGTGGCTGGGCTCGAGCGAAAAAGCCTCAAGCGGCGGGGCTGGTAGCTCGTGGGCTTATAACCTATTCGATCAACTCTATTCGATCAACTCTACTACGTCAGCGATGTAGTTATAGCCAAGAGTGATAAATGCATTTCAACATACCTATTCGATCAACTCTACTACGTCAGCGATGTAGTTATAGCCAAGAGTGATGAATAGGAAGCTAACAATAAGAGACCCGCGCGCCCCAAGTCCACAGCCAGCGAGCCTGGGGCTGAGCCAATGGCCCAGGCTCGCTCCGCGCGCCTAAGTCCCAGGCTCGCTTCGCGCGCCTAAGTCCTGGGCCGGGGCGCCCGGCTCACTCCGCGCGCCTAAGTCCGCGCCCGGTTCGCTCCGCGCGCCTAAGTCCTGAGCCGAGCGGAGAGTGGATTCCTCACATCTTCGTAGGAGCGATATGGCGATAGGTCGTGAACAGCGACTTGTCCGAGACCATGTGCGAAGTGGCGCCCGAGTCGACGACAAAAGAGTGGTTGCGAAGCTGGCGACGACGAGCGAGAAGACCGGTGGCGAGACATCCGACATGGTGTTGCGAGTCGACGGTCGAGTCAGCGGTGTCGGGCTTTTTGCCGTCCTCGAGCGCCTTCTTGCAGTCGAGAGACCAGTGATCCTTCTTCTTGCAGGAGCGACAGGGTCCTGGCGGCGGGTGTTGCGCCCTCGTAGGGCACTCCGCGACTCGGTGCGAAGGGCTGCGACAGGCGAGACACTTGAGACGAGTAGAACGTGACGACGACGAGGCAAGAAGGGCCGATTGAGTGCTGGGGATGTTCGTTGACCGAAGTTGGACTCGCATACGGTCGGCAAGCGAATCAATGTCGGGGAGAGTTCGTTGCGTGCGCTGTTCATCGGTGAACGACGCCTTGAAGCTCTCGAGGGACGGGTGGGCGATTGCAAGGAGGAGTGTGGCGAGAACATCATTGATAGTTGTCTTTGTGTCGATGATCTCTTGCGCAACGGCTTTGAAGTCCATGATCCACCCGTCGAATTCGGCAACCGTGCCGGGCATGGGACGGAAACCCCAGAGTCGTGAGAAGAGCTCGAGCGTGCGGGTGGCGTCGTCAGGGGCGTACCGCGATTTCAGCGTCGAGTAGATTGTCGGCGCTGTCAGGTCGGCGGTAGGGATTTTGTCGAGGACTGCCGAGACTTCGGCCGAGTCAATCGAATTCGCAAGGACCTCACGAGCGACGGCGTCGCGAGCGGAGCGTTGCGAAGGTGTCCAGTCGTCGGGTGTGATACCGTCGAGGACGTACGAGCGGATGTCGTCCGCTAGGCACAGGCGAAGTTGGCGTGTCCAGTTCGCGAAGGTCTTCGCACCATCCAAGCGTGCGTGCTTTGGAAAGGCAGTGCGAGTGGTGCCGGACGTCGTGGCGGGTGTGGCAGTGCCGGAAGCGGCAGCGGTGAGACCCGACAGCAGCGATGTAAGTGCGGCGAGCTGTTCGGCGGGAATCGGAGGGTTGGCACCCGTCGCGAGGGGTGGTGTCGTGGTCATGCCAGCTGGTGGCTCGTGGGCTTATAACCTATGAGACGTTCACCACTACTGTCAGGAGAGGTTGAGAGTCGAACAGAAGTGATCTATTTCAGCGTACCTATGAGACGTTCACCACTACTGTCAGGAGAGGTTGAGAGTCGAACAGAAGTGATGAGAAGGAAGCTAAGAAACAGAAAGGGGGGGCCACGCTGGGATAGTCCCAGGCGCGTGACAATGTACATCCCTAAGTCAGCCGCGGGTGAAATCGCCGGCGCGCCTAAGTCCCCACCGCAAGGGGGCGGGCTAGCGGGCGCGCGCATGAATCCGCCGGCGCTGGCGCGCTGAGGCAGTCGCGCGCGTCTAAGTCCCCACCGCCGGGGGCGGGCTAGCAAGTGCGCGCAACGACCGAGGCGCCCCTGTCGAGCTGAGAGTGGACTCTTCACACCCCCCCCCCACGCGAATGCGAGGCAGACCCAAGCCGCGGGTGTCGAGTGCGAAGGCCGAGGGCGTAGCAGTGCGTTGAGAAGACCTTTGGGCCGAGAGCCTTGGTGAAGATGTCGGCCACCATGTCGCTGGTACCCACATGCGAGAGAGAGATGTCGCCCCGATTCACCATGTCCCGAACGAAGTGCTCACGCAAGCGTATGTGCCGAGTGCCAGAGACGCGGACAGGATCGTGAGCAACTGCAGCAGCGGCTTCGTTGTCAGTAAAGATGTGAGCCGGTGCAACAGGTTGTACATGGAGCTCTTCGAGCAGCTGACTGAGGTAAATCCCTTCCTTGCCAGCATGCGAGAGGGCGAGGTATTCAGCGTCGGTGGTCGAATCGGCAACTCGAGACTGGCGTTTGGACGACCAGGACACGGCCGAGCCAGCGATGTAGAAGACGTAGCCCATGGTGGACACCGATGTGTCGATGCAGGCCCCCCAGTTCGCGTCGGAGTAGCCTACCACACCCGTGATGCGAGCCTGGCCGCGAGCATACACGAGTTCGTTGCGATACGTGGCCCGGAGATAGCGTAGGATGTGCTTGACCGCAATCCAATGACGACGACCGGGGTTGTTGGCGAAGCGGGCCAGGTAGGACACGGCGAAGGCGATGTCAGGGCGGGTACCGAGCGAAATGTAGAGGAGCGAGCCGATAGCCTGCAGATACCATGACCTGATCCGTTCGGTGCCTTGACCCGGGATAGCAGTGAGCGAAAGGCCGGGAGTCATCGGAACTGTAGTGCCGCGAGTCGTGGTGTCGAAGTGGAACCGAGCGAGCACGTCCATGATGTACCGTTCCTGGGATAGGGCGATAGAGCCGTCGTCGAACCGCCTGATCTGGATGCCGAGGATATACTCGGCCGGGCCGAGGCGCTTGACTCCGTAGCGTTGGTCCAGGCCTGAGATGACACGTTCGATTTCGGCCAGTTCCGGGCTGATCATCAGGAGGTCGTCGACGTACAGTGCGATGTAGTGTGGACATTGACGATCATCGAGCCAAGAGTATACGCAGTGGTCGGTGCCCGTCGCCGTGTAACCGAGGGCCCGAAGCGAAGCGTCGATGTGTCGATTCCAGATTCGGCCAGCCTGTTTGAGCCCGTAGATGGAGCGTCGCAGGCGAAGCACCTTGTCGCTGGGAAGGTCGAAGCCGCGCGGTGCCGTCATCCAGATGTCGTGGTCAAGGTCGCCATGCAGATATGCTTTGTCGATGTCCGCCTGGTGCACGTGCAAGCCGTTGGCGGCCGCCAGCGCGAGGAGTGAGCGTATCGAGGAGAAGCGTGCGACCGGTGCGAACGTTTCGTTGAAGTCGATGCCGTCGCGTTGCCGATTGCCTTGCGCGACCAGCCTTGCCTTGTGTCCAGTGACTTCGCCGAGTGCGTTCCGTTTCGTTTTCCAGACGAACTTGGATGTAACGATAGTCGCACCCGCGGGCACCGTGGCTCGGTCCTCGATGGTGAAGACCTTGAAGTCGTCGCGCATGGAGGTGAACTCGTCGGTGGCGGCTTTGGCCCATACTTCACGCTTGTCGCTAGACATCGCCTCGCGCCAGGTCTGTGGGTCGCTCGTGATGGACTTGACTGGCTGAATTGCCTCTGTGTCAGAGGTGTCGTCGTCGATGGCGATGAAGGCGCGGTGGTGTCGGGTGAGGAAATCGATTTCGTCCGGAGATTCGTCGCGAGAGTGGCGCCCAATGAGGTCGAGTTCGTCGGGCGACTCCTCAGCCGATGCGGGCTCGCGGTACGTGCTGAAGTCTGGGTGGTGCACGTCCTGTAGATCGAGGCGAACCTGGGGCTGTGAGCCGAGGAGGTCGAGGGGATCGGCGGAGTCTTCAGAGTCGGTCGGTAAGGCCGAGGGTGACGATGACGCAGCCGACGATGGTGAAAGTGCAGGCGATGGCGCAGACGACGGTGATGAGGGCGACGCAGGCGACGGTGACGAGGACGATTCGGCATCTGTGAAGTTAAGTAAGGTTCCGCCAGTGTACCCTGGGGCCACGTCAACGGCGCTCATGGCAGAATCATCAAGGGGGGATGAGACGTCCATGTGCGCCGACCTTACTAGTGGGGTCCATGTCTTGACAACGGTTTGAGATTCGGTGGTGGGAGCGCTGGCGAAGTGCGTGTCGCCGTCTTGCTCAGTGGGGTCGCCATGTAATCCGGGGAATTCAGTGTCGAGGAACGTGGCATTTCTGCCAAGTATAATCTTCTGTGTTGTAGTGTCGTAGAAGCGAAAGGCTTTTGAAGCCAGGTCGTAGCCGGTGAAAAAAACGCGAACCGCCTTCGGGTCGAGTTTGGAGCGAAGTTCGGGCGCGACCGTAAGCCAAGCTGTACAGCCGAACGGGTGAAGCGCCGAGGCAGTGGTGTGGTCACCCTGCCAGACGGAGTTTGGTGTTGCCTTGTCCAGGGCCGCGTGTTGACACAGGTTCTTGCAGTAAACGAAATAAGCTGCAGCCTCCTCCCAGAATGTCTTGGGTAGGTGGGCGTCGACAAGGAGGGCAAGGACGCCTTCGACAATGGAACGATTGACCCGCTCTGCACGACCGTTCTGTTGAGGCGTGCGTGGGATAGAGTATTGTCGACGGGTGCCTCGTGTCTTGCAGAACTCTGTGAACGCTCTCGAACAGTATTCGCCACCGTTGTCGGTTCGGAGGACCTTCAGCGTCGCACCCGTCTCGAGTTCAACCTCGGCTAGCCAAGTTTTGAATATGCCGAAGACTTCGCTTTTGTGTCCGATTGCGTAGGCCCAGAGTTTGCGCGAGTAATCGTCAAGGAATGTGACCAGGTAACGTTTGCCAGTCAAGGACCGCTCGGGGAAGGAAAGCACATCGCTGTGTACAAGGCCGAGTCTCTCTGAGGAGTGCGAATCCGAATCGGGAAAGGGAAGACGATGGCCCTTTGCGCTGAGGCAAGCATTGCAGACAAACTTCTCTACCTCTTCGTCACTATATCCGGCCCTGAGACCCTCCAGCAAACCAGCGGCAACCATCTTCTGTATGGAGGACGGTGCGAGATGGCCGAGGCAGCGATGGAGAGTCAGCAGGGGCACGGACGACTGTGAGCGAGAAAGGAGAGCAAGGTGCTGACATTTGGAATGATCAGCGTCCAGCAAGTAGAGCCCTTCGTCGAGTCGTGCGCCTTCAGCGATGTCGTTGCCGTCCTTGTCAATGTGGATGCCGTGTTTTGTGAAGGCGACACGGACATCGTCGGTGTCGCAAAGTCGAGAGACCGAGAGAAGATTGACAAACAGGCCCGGAGTGTGCAGCACGCCGGTAAGCGTGATCGGATGACCCGAGGCGGCAATGAAGGCGATGTTTCCCGTTCCGATGGCGTTGATGCCCCCTGCAATACCACCAATCTTCGTAGGAGCGATATGGCGATAGGTCGTGAACAGCGACTTGTCCGAGACCATGTGCGAAGTGGCGCCCGAGTCGACGACAAAAGAGTGGTTGCGAAGCTGGCGACGACGAGCGAGAAGACCGGTGGCGAGACATCCGACATGGTGTTGCGAGTCGACGGTCGAGTCAGCGGTGTCGGGCTTTTTGCCGTCCTCGAGCGCCTTCTTGCAGTCGAGAGACCAGTGATCCTTCTTCTTGCAGGAGCGACAGGGTCCTGGCGGCGGGTGTTGCGCCCTCGTAGGGCACTCCGCGACTCGGTGCGAAGGGCTGCGACAGGCGAGACACTTGAGACGAGTAGAACGTGACGACGACGAGGCAAGAAGGGCCGATTGAGTGCTGGGGATGTTCGTTGACCGAAGTTGGACTCGCATACGGTCGGCAAGCGAATCAATGTCGGGGAGAGTTCGTTGCGTGCGCTGTTCATCGGTGAACGACGCCTTGAAGCTCTCGAGGGACGGGTGGGCGATTGCAAGGAGGAGTGTGGCGAGAACATCATTGATAGTTGTCTTTGTGTCGATGATCTCTTGCGCAACGGCTTTGAAGTCCATGATCCACCCGTCGAATTCGGCAACCGTGCCGGGCATGGGACGGAAACCCCAGAGTCGTGAGAAGAGCTCGAGCGTGCGGGTGGCGTCGTCAGGGGCGTACCGCGATTTCAGCGTCGAGTAGATTGTCGGCGCTGTCAGGTCGGCGGTAGGGATTTTGTCGAGGACTGCCGAGACTTCGGCCGAGTCAATCGAATTCGCAAGGACCTCACGAGCGACGGCGTCGCGAGCGGAGCGTTGCGAAGGTGTCCAGTCGTCGGGTGCGATACCGTCGAGGACGTACGAGCGGATGTCGTCCGCTAGGCACAGGCGAAGTTGGCGTGTCCAGTTCGCGAAGGTCTTCGCACCATCCAAGCGTGCGTGCTTTGGAAAGGCAGTGCGAGTGGTGCCGGACGTCGTGGCGGGTGTGGCAGTGCCGGAAGCGGCAGCGGTGAGACCCGACAGCAGCGATGTAAGTGCGGCGAGCTGTTCGGCGGGAATCGGAGGGTTGGCACCCGTCGCGAGGGGTGGTGTCGTGGTCATGCCAGCTGGTGGCTCGTGGGCTTATAACCTATGAGACGTTCACCACTACTGTCAGGAGAGGTTGAGAGTCGAACAGAAGTGATCTATTTCAGCGTACCTATGAGACGTTCACCACTACTGTCAGGAGAGGTTGAGAGTCGAACAGAAGTGATGAGAAGGAAGCTAAGAAACAGAAAGGGGGGGGCCACGCTGGGATAGTCCCAGGCGCGTGACAATGTACATCCCTAAGTCAGCCGCGGGTGAAATCGCCGGCGCGCCTAAGTCCCCACCGCAAGGGGGCGGGCTAGCGGGCGCGCGCATGAATCCGCCGGCGCTGGCGCGCTGAGGCAGTCGCGCGCGTCTAAGTCCCCACCGCCGGGGGCGGGCTAGCAAGTGCGCGCAACGACCGAGGCGCCCCTGTCGAGCTGAGAGTGGACTCTTCACAAAAACTGTATACTAAATATCTTTTCTTCATCTTTCTTTTATTACAGGTCTGCCTCCGTTGCTCATGGACCGGCTTGCGTTTTGGGATTGACTCGACTGTGGCTCGCGCTCTCTGGCTTCGGGGTTCTGAGTTTAAGGGAGGGATCAGCAGACACAGGCAGAAAGTCGGCTTTGAGGGGCCAGGGACTGCTGAGGTGGAGGTTTTGAGGGGCCTCCACCGCGTCTTGTTGTGACCGAGCATAGACTTGGGATTTCGCGGGTCAGGGTAGCTGCGCAGTCGCTCTCCTGTCTTTGTCTCGACCGAGTTGGGAAGTGGGTGCGGGGTGGGCCTCTTGTCGTTAGTACGCCAGTTCTTTTTCATTTTCTCTCTCTCATTCGTCTCCTGGGGGGGTGTGAAGAGTCCACTCTCAGCTCGACAGGGGCGCCTCGGTCGTTGCGCGCACTTGCTAGCCCGCCCCCGGCGGTGGGGACTTAGACGCGCGCGACTGCCTCAGCGCGCCAGCGCCGGCGGATTCATGCGCGCGCCCGCTAGCCCGCCCCCTTGCGGTGGGGACTTAGGCGCGCCGGCGATTTCACCCGCGGCTGACTTAGGGATGTACATTGTCACGCGCCTGGGACTATCCCAGCGTGGCCCCCCCCTTTCTGTTTCTTAGCTTCCTTCTCATCACTTCTGTTCGACTCTCAACCTCTCCTGACAGTAGTGGTGAACGTCTCATAGGTACGCTGAAATAGATCACTTCTGTTCGACTCTCAACCTCTCCTGACAGTAGTGGTGAACGTCTCATAGGTTATAAGCCCACGAGCCACCAGCTGGCATGACCACGACACCACCCCTCGCGACGGGTGCCAACCCTCCGATTCCCGCCGAACAGCTCGCCGCACTTACATCGCTGCTGTCGGGTCTCACCGCTGCCGCTTCCGGCACTGCCACACCCGCCACGACGTCCGGCACCACTCGCACTGCCTTTCCAAAGCACGCACGCTTGGATGGTGCGAAGACCTTCGCGAACTGGACACGCCAACTTCGCCTGTGCCTAGCGGACGACATCCGCTCGTACGTCCTCGACGGTATCGCACCCGACGACTGGACACCTTCGCAACGCTCCGCTCGCGACGCCGTCGCTCGTGAGGTCCTTGCGAATTCGATTGACTCGGCCGAAGTCTCGGCAGTCCTCGACAAAATCCCTACCGCCGACCTGACAGCGCCGACAATCTACTCGACGCTGAAATCGCGGTACGCCCCTGACGACGCCACCCGCACGCTCGAGCTCTTCTCACGACTCTGGGGTTTCCGTCCCATGCCCGGCACGGTTGCCGAATTCGACGGGTGGATCATGGACTTCAAAGCCGTTGCGCAAGAGATCATCGACACAAAGACAACTATCAATGATGTTCTCGCCACACTCCTCCTTGCAATCGCCCACCCGTCCCTCGAGAGCTTCAAGGCGTCGTTCACCGATGAACAGCGCACGCAACGAACTCTCCCCGACATTGATTCGCTTGCCGACCGTATGCGAGTCCAACTTCGGTCAACGAACATCCCCAGCACTCAATCGGCCCTTCTTGCCTCGTCGTCGTCACGTTCTACTCGTCTCAAGTGTCTCGCCTGTCGCAGCCCTTCGCACCGAGTCGCGGAGTGCCCTACGAGGGCGCAACACCCGCCGCCAGGACCCTGTCGCTCCTGCAAGAAGAAGGATCACTGGTCTCTCGACTGCAAGAAGGCGCTCGAGGACGGCAAAAAGCCCGACACCGCTGACTCGACCGTCGACTCGCAACACCATGTCGGATGTCTCGCCACCGGTCTTCTCGCTCGTCGTCGCCAGCTTCGCAACCACTCTTTTGTCGTCGACTCGGGCGCCACTTCGCACATGGTCTCGGACAAGTCGCTGTTCACGACCTATCGCCATATCGCTCCTACGAAGATTGGTGGTATTGCAGTGTGAAGAGTCCACTCTCAGCTCGACAGGGGCGCCTCGGTCGTTGCGCGCACTTGCTAGCCCGCCCCCGGCGGTGGGGACTTAGACGCGCGCGACTGCCTCAGCGCGCCAGCGCCGGCGGATTCATGCGCGCGCCCGCTAGCCCGCCCCCTTGCGGTGGGGACTTAGGCGCGCCGGCGATTTCACCCGCGGCTGACTTAGGGATGTACATTGTCACGCGCCTGGGACTATCCCAGCGTGGCCCCCCCCTTTCTGTTTCTTAGCTTCCTTCTCATCACTTCTGTTCGACTCTCAACCTCTCCTGACAGTAGTGGTGAACGTCTCATAGGTACGCTGAAATAGATCACTTCTGTTCGACTCTCAACCTCTCCTGACAGTAGTGGTGAACGTCTCATAGGTTATAAGCCCACGAGCCACCAGCTGGCATGACCACGACACCACCCCTCGCGACGGGTGCCAACCCTCCGATTCCCGCCGAACAGCTCGCCGCACTTACATCGCTGCTGTCGGGTCTCACCGCTGCCGCTTCCGGCACTGCCACACCCGCCACGACGTCCGGCACCACTCGCACTGCCTTTCCAAAGCACGCACGCTTGGATGGTGCGAAGACCTTCGCGAACTGGACACGCCAACTTCGCCTGTGCCTAGCGGACGACATCCGCTCGTACGTCCTCGACGGTATCGCACCCGACGACTGGACACCTTCGCAACGCTCCGCTCGCGACGCCGTCGCTCGTGAGGTCCTTGCGAATTCGATTGACTCGGCCGAAGTCTCGGCAGTCCTCGACAAAATCCCTACCGCCGACCTGACAGCGCCGACAATCTACTCGACGCTGAAATCGCGGTACGCCCCTGACGACGCCACCCGCACGCTCGAGCTCTTCTCACGACTCTGGGGTTTCCGTCCCATGCCCGGCACGGTTGCCGAATTCGACGGGTGGATCATGGACTTCAAAGCCGTTGCGCAAGAGATCATCGACACAAAGACAACTATCAATGATGTTCTCGCCACACTCCTCCTTGCAATCGCCCACCCGTCCCTCGAGAGCTTCAAGGCGTCGTTCACCGATGAACAGCGCACGCAACGAACTCTCCCCGACATTGATTCGCTTGCCGACCGTATGCGAGTCCAACTTCGGTCAACGAACATCCCCAGCACTCAATCGGCCCTTCTTGCCTCGTCGTCGTCACGTTCTACTCGTCTCAAGTGTCTCGCCTGTCGCAGCCCTTCGCACCGAGTCGCGGAGTGCCCTACGAGGGCGCAACACCCGCCGCCAGGACCCTGTCGCTCCTGCAAGAAGAAGGATCACTGGTCTCTCGACTGCAAGAAGGCGCTCGAGGACGGCAAAAAGCCCGACACCGCTGACTCGACCGTCGACTCGCAACACCATGTCGGATGTCTCGCCACCGGTCTTCTCGCTCGTCGTCGCCAGCTTCGCAACCACTCTTTTGTCGTCGACTCGGGCGCCACTTCGCACATGGTCTCGGACAAGTCGCTGTTCACGACCTATCGCCATATCGCTCCTACGAAGATTGGTGGTATTGCAGGGGGCATCAACGCCATCGGAACGGGAAACATCGCCTTCATTGCCGCCTCGGGTCATCCGATCACGCTTACCGGCGTGCTGCACACTCCGGGCCTGTTTGTCAATCTTCTCTCGGTCTCTCGACTTTGCGACACCGACGATGTCCGTGTCGCCTTCACAAAACACGGCATCCACATTGACAAGGACGGCAACGACATCGCTGAAGGCGCACGACTCGACGAAGGGCTCTACTTGCTGGACGCTGATCATTCCAAATGTCAGCACCTTGCTCTCCTTTCTCGCTCACAGTCGTCCGTGCCCCTGCTGACTCTCCATCGCTGCCTCGGCCATCTCGCACCGTCCTCCATACAGAAGATGGTTGCCGCTGGTTTGCTGGAGGGTCTCAGGGCCGGATATAGTGACGAAGAGGTAGAGAAGTTTGTCTGCAATGCTTGCCTCAGCGCAAAGGGCCATCGTCTTCCCTTTCCCGATTCGGATTCGCACTCCTCAGAGAGACTCGGCCTTGTACACAGCGATGTGCTTTCCTTCCCCGAGCGGTCCTTGACTGGCAAACGTTACCTGGTCACATTCCTTGACGATTACTCGCGCAAACTCTGGGCCTACGCAATCGGACACAAAAGCGAAGTCTTCGGCATATTCAAAACTTGGCTAGCCGAGGTTGAACTCGAGACGGGTGCGACGCTGAAGGTCCTCCGAACCGACAACGGTGGCGAATACTGTTCGAGAGCGTTCACAGAGTTCTGCAAGACACGAGGCACCCGTCGACAATACTCTATCCCACGCACGCCTCAACAGAACGGTCGTGCAGAGCGGGTCAATCGTTCCATTGTCGAAGGCGTCCTTGCCCTCCTTGTCGACGCCCACCTACCCAAGACATTCTGGGAGGAGGCTGCAGCTTATTTCGTTTACTGCAAGAACCTGTGTCAACACGCGGCCCTGGACAAGGCAACACCAAACTCCGTCTGGCAGGGTGACCACACCACTGCCTCGGCGCTTCACCCGTTCGGCTGTACAGCTTGGCTTACGGTCGCGCCCGAACTTCGCTCCAAACTCGACCCGAAGGCGGTTCGCGTTTTTTTCACCGGCTACGACCTGGCTTCAAAAGCCTTTCGCTTCTACGACACTACAACACAGAAGATTATACTTGGCAGAAATGCCACGTTCCTCGACACTGAATTCCCCGGATTACATGGCGACCCCACTGAGCAAGACGGCGACACGCACTTCGCCAGCGCTCCCACCACCGAATCTCAAACCGTTGTCAAGACATGGACCCCACTAGTAAGGTCGGCGCACATGGACGTCTCATCCCCCCTTGATGATTCTGCCATGAGCGCCGTTGACGTGGCCCCAGGGTACACTGGCGGAACCTTACTTAACTTCACAGATGCCGAATCGTCCTCGTCACCGTCGCCTGCGTCGCCCTCATCACCGTCGTCTGCGCCATCGCCTGCACTTTCACCATCGTCGGCTGCGTCATCGTCACCCTCGGCCTTACCGACCGACTCTGAAGACTCCGCCGATCCCCTCGACCTCCTCGGCTCACAGCCCCAGGTTCGCCTCGATCTACAGGACGTGCACCACCCAGACTTCAGCACGTACCGCGAGCCCGCATCGGCTGAGGAGTCGCCCGACGAACTCGACCTCATTGGGCGCCACTCTCGCGACGAATCTCCGGACGAAATCGATTTCCTCACCCGACACCACCGCGCCTTCATCGCCATCGACGACGACACCTCTGACACAGAGGCAATTCAGCCAGTCAAGTCCATCACGAGCGACCCACAGACCTGGCGCGAGGCGATGTCTAGCGACAAGCGTGAAGTATGGGCCAAAGCCGCCACCGACGAGTTCACCTCCATGCGCGACGACTTCAAGGTCTTCACCATCGAGGACCGAGCCACGGTGCCCGCGGGTGCGACTATCGTTACATCCAAGTTCGTCTGGAAAACGAAACGGAACGCACTCGGCGAAGTCACTGGACACAAGGCAAGGCTGGTCGCGCAAGGCAATCGGCAACGCGACGGCATCGACTTCAACGAAACGTTCGCACCGGTCGCACGCTTCTCCTCGATACGCTCACTCCTCGCGCTGGCGGCCGCCAACGGCTTGCACGTGCACCAGGCGGACATCGACAAAGCATATCTGCATGGCGACCTTGACCACGACATCTGGATGACGGCACCGCGCGGCTTCGACCTTCCCAGCGACAAGGTGCTTCGCCTGCGACGCTCCATCTACGGGCTCAAACAGGCTGGCCGAATCTGGAATCGACACATCGACGCTTCGCTTCGGGCCCTCGGTTACACGGCGACGGGCACCGACCACTGCGTATACTCTTGGCTCGATGATCGTCAATGTCCACACTACATCGCACTGTACGTCGACGACCTCCTGATGATCAGCCCGGAACTGGCCGAAATCGAACGTGTCATCTCAGGCCTGGACCAACGCTACGGAGTCAAGCGCCTCGGCCCGGCCGAGTATATCCTCGGCATCCAGATCAGGCGGTTCGACGACGGCTCTATCGCCCTATCCCAGGAACGGTACATCATGGACGTGCTCGCTCGGTTCCACTTCGACACCACGACTCGCGGCACTACAGTTCCGATGACTCCCGGCCTTTCGCTCACTGCTATCCCGGGTCAAGGCACCGAACGGATCAGGTCATGGTATCTGCAGGCTATCGGCTCGCTCCTCTACATTTCGCTCGGTACCCGCCCTGACATCGCCTTCGCCGTGTCCTACCTGGCCCGCTTCGCCAACAACCCCGGTCGTCGTCATTGGATTGCGGTCAAGCACATCCTACGCTATCTCCGGGCCACGTATCGCAACGAACTCGTGTATGCTCGCGGCCAGGCTCGCATCACGGGTGTGGTAGGCTACTCCGACGCGAACTGGGGGGCCTGCATCGACACATCGGTGTCCACCATGGGCTACGTCTTCTACATCGCTGGCTCGGCCGTGTCCTGGTCGTCCAAACGCCAGTCTCGAGTTGCCGATTCGACCACCGACGCTGAATACCTCGCCCTCTCGCATGCTGGCAAGGAAGGGATTTACCTCAGTCAGCTGCTCGAAGAGCTCCATGTACAACCTGTTGCACCGGCTCACATCTTTACTGACAACGAAGCCGCTGCTGCAGTTGCTCACGATCCTGTCCGCGTCTCTGGCACTCGGCACATACGCTTGCGTGAGCACTTCGTTCGGGACATGGTGAATCGGGGCGACATCTCTCTCTCGCATGTGGGTACCAGCGACATGGTGGCCGACATCTTCACCAAGGCTCTCGGCCCAAAGGTCTTCTCAACGCACTGCTACGCCCTCGGCCTTCGCACTCGACACCCGCGGCTTGGGTCTGCCTCGCATTCGCGTGGGGGGGGGTGTGAAGAGTCCACTCTCAGCTCGACAGGGGCGCCTCGGTCGTTGCGCGCACTTGCTAGCCCGCCCCCGGCGGTGGGGACTTAGACGCGCGCGACTGCCTCAGCGCGCCAGCGCCGGCGGATTCATGCGCGCGCCCGCTAGCCCGCCCCCTTGCGGTGGGGACTTAGGCGCGCCGGCGATTTCACCCGCGGCTGACTTAGGGATGTACATTGTCACGCGCCTGGGACTATCCCAGCGTGGCCCCCCCTTTCTGTTTCTTAGCTTCCTTCTCATCACTTCTGTTCGACTCTCAACCTCTCCTGACAGTAGTGGTGAACGTCTCATAGGTACGCTGAAATAGATCACTTCTGTTCGACTCTCAACCTCTCCTGACAGTAGTGGTGAACGTCTCATATGCAGGGGGCATCAACGCCATCGGAACGGGAAACATCGCCTTCATTGCCGCCTCGGGTCATCCGATCACGCTTACCGGCGTGCTGCACACTCCGGGCCTGTTTGTCAATCTTCTCTCGGTCTCTCGACTTTGCGACACCGACGATGTCCGTGTCGCCTTCACAAAACACGGCATCCACATTGACAAGGACGGCAACGACATCGCTGAAGGCGCACGACTCGACGAAGGGCTCTACTTGCTGGACGCTGATCATTCCAAATGTCAGCACCTTGCTCTCCTTTCTCGCTCACAGTCGTCCGTGCCCCTGCTGACTCTCCATCGCTGCCTCGGCCATCTCGCACCGTCCTCCATACAGAAGATGGTTGCCGCTGGTTTGCTGGAGGGTCTCAGGGCCGGATATAGTGACGAAGAGGTAGAGAAGTTTGTCTGCAATGCTTGCCTCAGCGCAAAGGGCCATCGTCTTCCCTTTCCCGATTCGGATTCGCACTCCTCAGAGTGTGAGGAATCCACTCTCCGCTCGGCTCAGGACTTAGGCGCGCGGAGCGAACCGGGCGCGGACTTAGGCGCGCGGAGTGAGCCGGGCGCCCCGGCCCAGGACTTAGGCGCGCGAAGCGAGCCTGGGACTTAGGCGCGCGGAGCGAGCCTGGGCCATTGGCTCAGCCCCAGGCTCGCTGGCTGTGGACTTGGGGCGCGCGGGTCTCTTATTGTTAGCTTCCTATTCATCACTCTTGGCTATAACTACATCGCTGACGTAGTAGAGTTGATCGAATAGGTATGTTGAAATGCATTGATCACTCTTGGCTATAACTACATCGCTGACGTAGTAGAGTTGATCGAATAGGTTATGAGCCCAACGAGCTACCAGCTGCTCGTCCGTGAACGTGAGTCGGAAGCTGTCGAGGCAAGACGGGACCATGGCGAGCACGTGGGTGGCGAGCACGTCGTTGAGCGATGTTTTGGCGTCGCGTATTTCCTGAGCAATCGACATGTACTCGCGTAGCCAAGTGTCGTAGGCCTCGACGGAGGCAGGCATCTTCCTGAAGTCCCAAAGGCGAGCGAACAACTCGAGAGTGCGTGTAGCGTCGTCCGGTGCAAAACGAGCCTTGAGAGCGGCAAAGATGCGCGGTGCCGACAGGTCGTCGCTGGGGATGGCGTCGAGGGTGGCCGATACGTCGGCGGAGTCGATAGAGCCAACGATGATTTCCCGGGCGGCGTCGTCACGTGCGGCAAGCTGGTCGGCGGTCCAGGTCGGGGGAACGACACCGTCGAGAACGTAACCACGAACCTGGTTCGGGAGTGCAAGACGGAGTTGACGCAACCAGTTGGTGAACGACTTGGGGCCGTCCAGACGAGCGTGCTTGGGAAACACGACCTTGGATGCGGTGGCGGCGTTCCCCGGCACGATGGTGACGGCCGGGGGTGCGGCGGCTGCGGCGGCGGCGGGTTGCGAGGCCTGCAGAGCGGCAAGCTGGGCCTGTAGAGTGGCGATTTGTTCGCCGATCGAAGATTCAGGGGAGCTGGGATCCCTGGGGGCCAAAGGCGAGGCGGGAGAGCTGTCCATGATGTGATGGTGCGATGGACGTGTGCGGCTCGAGTGGCTGGGCTCGAGCGAAAAAGCCTCAAGCGGCGGGGCTGGTAGCTCGTGGGCTTATAACCTATTCGATCAACTCTACTACGTCTTTGTAGTCGATTCGGGTGCCACGACACACATGGTCGCCGACCGATCTCTATTCACGACTTATCGTCAGACGGCACACACCAAGATCGGCGGCATCGCGGGCGGCATCACGGCTATCGGCATGGGGGACGTGGCATTCGTCGCCAAGACTGGACACCCGATCACGCTCCGTGGTGTTCTTCACACGCCTGGCCTACACGTCAACCTCCTCTCTGTCTCTCGCCTCTGCGACACCGACCGCGTTCGTCTCGCCTTCACCAGCGACGGCATCGACATCGCCAAGGACGGCCGGGCCATTGCTCACGGTACCAGGGTCAACGACGGTCTTTACCTTTTGGACGCGGATCACACCAAGTGTCAGCATCTTGCCTTCCTCTCACGCTCTGAGTCTCCCGTGCCCCTGCTTACCCTACACCGCTGCCTCGGCCATCTTGCCCCATCCTCTATACAGAAGATGATTGCTGCAGGTTTGCTGGACGGGTTTGGGGCCGGGTACAGTGACAAAGACGTAGAGGAGTTTGTTTGCAATGCTTGCCTTGGTTCCAAAGGTCACCGCCTTCCCTTTCCCGACTCTGAGTCGCATTCCGCCGAGAGACTTGGCCTCGTGCACAGCGACGTCCTGTCGTTCCCCACTCCGTCCTTGACCGGGAAGCGCTACCTTGTCACGTTTCTAGACGACCACTCTCGCAAACTCTGGGCATATGCGATCGATCACAAAAGCGATGTTTTCCCGACCTTCCAGACTTGGCTCGCCGAAGTGGAGTTAGAGACGAACGCGCGGTTGAGGATCCTTCGAACCGACAATGGCGGGGAGTACCGATCAAACGCATTCACGGAGTTCTGCAAATCCAAGGGCATTCGTCGTCAATACTCTATCCCTTACACGCCTCAACAAAACGGTCGCGCCGAACGTGTCAACCTCTCCATCGTCGAGGGCGTCCTCGCTCTCCTTGCGGACGCCCGTCTGCCGGCCACCTTTTGGGATGAAGCGGCTGCGTATTTCGTTTATTGCAAAAACAGGTGCTCACACTCAGCTTTGGCCAAACAGACTCCAGAATCCGTTTGGAACGGCCAACGCACCACCGCCACCGCCCTCCACCCGTTCGGCTGCACAGCCTGGCTCACGGTCGCCCCGGACCTTCGCAGCAAGCTCGACCCCAAGGCCGCGCGCGTGATCTTCACAGGTTACGACCTCGCCTCCAAAGCTTTCCGTTTCTTTGACCATTCCATCAACAAGATTGTACTTGGTCGCAATGCCACCTTCCTCGACGACGACTTCCCCGGCCTGCCAGTCACCACGCCCGTCGATGCAGACGACACCGACCGTCAGTTCGTCGTTCCCGCCGACACGCCCGCCCCTGCCGTCAAGACGAGGACCCCACTAGTAAGGTCGGCGCACATGGACGTCTCATCCTCCCTTGATGATTCTGCCATGAGCGCCGTTGACGTGGCCCCAGGGTACACTGGCGGAACCTTACTTAATTCCACAGATACCGAATCGTCCTCGTCACCGTCTCCTGAGCCGTCCTCGTCACCGTCGCCCACAAACCCTTTGTCACCGTCGCCTGCGCTGTCACCGTCGTTGGCAGCGTCATCGTCACCCTCGGTCTCACCGACCGACTCTGACTACTCCGCCGACCCTCTGGACCTCATCGGCTCACAGACCCCGACTCGCCTTGGCCCACCGGACGTGCACCGCCCAGACTTCAGCACGTACCGTGAGCCCGCATCGGCTGAGGAGTCGCCCGACGAACTCGACATCATTGGGCGTCACTCACGCGATGAATCGCCGGATGAAATCGATTTCCTCACCCAACACCACCGCGCCTTCATCGCCACAGACGACGACGACCCCACCCTCGACGCCATCGAGCCCGTCAAATCGATCACTAGCGACCCCCAGACCTGGCGCGAAGCAATGTCCAGCGACGAGCACAACATCTGGGCTGAGGCCGCCGCCGCCGAGTTCACCGCCATGCGCGACGACTTCAAGGTGTTCACCATCGAGCCTCGCTCATCTGTACCGCCGGGCGCCACCATCGTCACCTCCAAATTCGTCTGGAAGACCAAGCGCAACGCAAGCGGTGAAGTCACGGGGCGGAAGGCACGTCTTGTAGCGCAGGGTAACCGACAGCGCGACGGCATCGACTTCTCAGAAACCTTCGCACCCGTCGCCCGTTTCTCCTCCATTCGCTGCCTCCTGGCTCTTGCCGCTGCCAATGGCTACCACGTTCATCAGGCCGACATCGACAAGGCTTACCTCCACGGCGAGCTCGATCATGATATCTGGATGACGACACCACGCGGTTTCGACTTCCCGAGCGATAAGGTTCTCCGGCTGCGACGCTCAATCTACGGTCTCAAGCAGGCCGGTCGCATCTGGAATCGTCACATTGACACATCACTCAGGAATCTGGGGTACAAGGCAACAGGCACTGATCACTGCATTTACTCTCGCATTGACGATCAGCAGCGGCCTCACTATATCGCCTTGTATGTCGACGACCTCCTCATTGTCAGTCCAGCCCTCGACGAGATCGAACGTGTCATCTCCGGCCTTGAACAGCGGTACGGCGTCAAACGACTCGGCCCCGCGGAGTACATCCTCGGAATCCAAATACGCCGCCTGGACGACGGTTCCATTGCTCTATCCCAGGAGCGCTACATCATGGACGTGCTGGCCCGTTTCCACTTCGACACCACGACACGCGGCACTACGGTGCCGATGACGCCCGGCCTCTCGCTCACGGCAATTCCGGGTCAGGGAACGGAGCGCATTCGTTCGTGGTACCTACAGGCCATCGGCTCCCTCCTCTACATCTCCCTTGGCACTCGACCCGACATTGCCTTCGCCGTCTCGTACCTGTCCCGGTTCGCCAACAACCCCGGCCGCCGCCATTGGATTGCCGTCAAACACGTCCTTCGCTACCTTCGCGCCACGTACCGCGATGAGCTTCTCTATGCCCGCGGCCCAGCAAAAGTCACGGGTGTGGTTGGTTATTCTGATGCGAACTGGGGCGCCTGCGTCGACACATCCATTTCAACGATGGGCTACGTATTTTACTTGGCAGGCGCCGCTGTCTCTTGGTCGTCGAAGCGTCAGACTCGGGTAGCGGATTCCACCACTGATGCCGAGTACCTGGCCTTGTCGCACGCGGGTAAGGAAGCGATCTACCTTAACCAACTCCTCTCCGAGCTCCACGTTTGCCCAATCGCTGCAGCTCACATCTTCACCGACAACGAGGCCGCGGCCGCCGTCGCTCACGACCCCGTTCGCACCTCCGGCACCCGGCACATTCGCCTCCGCGAGCATTTTGTCCGTGACATGGTCAATCGAGGTGATATCTCTCTCTCACACGTTGGCACAGCAGACATGGTTGCGGACGTATTCACCAAGGCGCTAGGCCCCAAGATTTTTGGTACACATTGCTATGCTCTAGGCCTCCGGACGCGACATCCACGGCTCAAGTCTACCTCGCGTTCGCGTGGGGGGGGTGTGAGGAATCCACTCTCCGCTCGGCTCAGGACTTAGGCGCGCGGAGCGAACCGGGCGCGGACTTAGGCGCGCGGAGTGAGCCGGGCGCCCCGGCCCAGGACTTAGGCGCGCGAAGCGAGCCTGGGACTTAGGCGCGCGGAGCGAGCCTGGGCCATTGGCTCAGCCCCAGGCTCGCTGGCTGTGGACTTGGGGCGCGCGGGTCTCTTATTGTTAGCTTCCTATTCATCACTCTTGGCTATAACTACATCGCTGACGTAGTAGAGTTGATCGAATAGGTATGTTGAAATGCATTGATCACTCTTGGCTATAACTACATCGCTGACGTAGTAGAGTTGATCGAATACAGAGAGACTCGGCCTTGTACACAGCGATGTGCTTTCCTTCCCCGAGCGGTCCTTGACTGGCAAACGTTACCTGGTCACATTCCTTGACGATTACTCGCGCAAACTCTGGG